GTCTAAGGAAAACTGGAAGCCCTGCCCCCACCCAGCCCCCAGACTCCTACTGCCCTTCTCTTCTCCTTTATAGATGGATCACAGTCCACAACGTTGTGAAATGCACCTGATCATCATTTTTCTTCATTACCTGATCTAATTCAAGTGCAAGATCACAGGACAGGCACACTTGCTGTTGACCAAGCACTCAGAACGGAGCCTGCACGTTGGATTTTCCCAGTGAGTGTCCAATGAGTGAGTGAATTCCCACAGCACACTCAGACCACACACTGACTGCTGTTGATATCTGGGGGATTTTAACCAATTGCAAACATCAATTGATAATTTAACATTAGGCAGAAGTAGTAAATCATCACTAAAAAAATAGAATAAAAGGAGCCCACACCCCTGGCCACAGGGCCCTTCTTCCCTGGATGCAGCTCCCCACCCAGCCACATCTTCTTTAGCTTCTCTCCTCTCTGTTGCCCTCGGCACTTGAGGACAACTCAGAAGTTAGGGTGGATTCTCCTTGCTACTGGCCAGGAAGAGTTTTTCCTCTTTCCCTGACTGTAGTGTCTCCCTTGGGATTGTGTCTCCATCAGTCAGAAGACCCTGTGGGGAACACCTTAGGATTTCTCCAGAACAAAAGCTTCAGGCTGGGAGCAGACCAGCCCCTCCCACCCCAGGGTGAGCAGGAAGGGCTACAGGAAGCAGCACTGCCTCTGCTGCTCACTCCCAGGCAGCACATCCGGGACCCAGCCCCAAACAGCAACCTCCTGCAGGAGACTAACGCTGGCTACTGCTTACTTCATTCTCTGTTTGTTCCAAAGAACTGCAGGCAGCCATCAGACACATGCACATTGCTCAAGGGGTGGCGCTGGGACACTCTGGGTCACCCTGGGTCCCAGCATCTGGGATTGATCCCACCTCAGCAGTGACCCGGGTTCCTACTAATGCACTCCTGGAGGGTGGCAGGTGATGGCTCAAACCTTCTGTCTGTGTCATTCACAGGGAGATCCGGATCAAGATCATGACTTCTGACTTTGGCCAAGCCCAGGTGCAGCTGTTACAGGTGTGTGGGGCAGTAACCAGAAGATACAAGATCTCTCTCCTCCATGTGTACATACATAGTGCATATTTCTTTCTACCTTTTATGACAAAATTTTTAAAATAAAATACTGGAAAGAAATGACATTGAGGGTACACCAGGACTCCAAGATGGTGTTAGTCATGGATGTGAAACTCACAGAGCTGCCAAGCTGGATCCTGATGTGGGATTTCACCCCTAAAGGCATCACCAGCTACTGCCGGTATTACAAGTACATCAATGTGAAGAAGGGGAACACAGCCAGTGTGAACATGGTGCTGGCGGGCTACGTGCGTTTCAGCAACTGCCTTCCATACAAGGAGCTCAAACACAAACAGTGGAGTAAGCACCACCGAAGAGGCCAAAGTGGAAGGCGCTCCCTGTATTCCTGACACAGGCCTTCCTGGCCCACCTCCCCTCCAAGAGGAACTCCATCGTCAATGAATTCTTTCAGACCATAACAGATATACATGGGTTAAAAATGACATTGAACTTGCTATAATTTTGCTGCTTTGGCTGCACAGGCCACCACTTTCAGAAATGGGGTTGCCAGAACTATCTGAATGGGGTTAATGCGTGGGGAAAAGTAACAATTGTCAAATCAATAAATCAGACCTCAGAGATGTCCAGTGATAGATCCAGGATCCAGATTATAAGATTTATTTGTAATATTCAAGTGACAAAGTGACCTACTGATCTGAGCAGAGAGGAAAACAGCAATAAGATATCAGTTCATGCATCTTGATGGATGATTATCAAAAGATGAGAGATAAGGGCCAGGGTTGCATAGTGGGTAAAACCTCTGCTTGTGATGCTGGTATCCTATTCAGGTGCTGCTTGGTGTCCCGGATCCTCTGCTTCCGATCCAGCTCCCTGCTAATGCACCTGGGAAGGCAGTGGGAGATGACCCAGGTGCTTGGGCTGCTGCACTAATGTGGGAAACCCAGAAGAAGCTCCTGACTGCTGGCAGCTAGCTGCTGGCTCCTGCCACTACAGCTCTTTAGGAGGTGAGCAACAGATGGAAAATGGATCACTCCTCCTCTCTCTTCTCCTCCTCTCTTCCTCTTATCCTCTCCCTTCCTTTCTCCCCCCCCCCCCGTAACTGTCTTTTAAATAAATAAGTTTTTTTTTTCAAAATGAATAACATCCTTTGCAGCATAATGGACAGAGCTGAAAAAACATCTATGCTAAATGACAGAAGTCAGACGTGGAGAGACAGATGTCTCCTGTGCTCCCTTATATGTGAACACTAAACAAACAGGGGCCTACACTGTGGGATAACAACCTGAGCTGCTAATCTCACATGGGCACCAGTTCAAGTCCCAGCTGCTCCATTTCTCATCCAGCTTCCTGCTGTGTCATGGAAAGTAATGGAAGATGCCCAAGGGCTTGGATCCCTGTCACCCACGGGGGAGAGCTGGATGAAGGCTCAGGCTCCTGACTCCGGCCTGGTCAGTGTCAGCCTGGGCAGCTCTCACTCTCCCTGTGTAACTCTGCCTTTCCAATACAGAAATAAATCTTCAAAACATAAAGAGAGAATAATGTAATGAAAAGGACATGGAAATCATAATTGACCGTATGGATCAGTACACACTGCACACATGTATTAAAATGCCACAGTGTCCAGAAACACATACAGTAATCATGCATGTGAAGATCAGGATACATGGGACTTAACATTCCAATTCTGAGTGTGAGGCTGGCCTAGCATGTTCAGGACTATAAGCATGTTGGAGCTTCCATTGTTTTATCTCTCCCTCCCTCTCTCTCTCTCTCTCTCTCTCTCTCTCTCTCTCTCTCTGTATCTATTTCTATGTATATCTCTATCTCCCTCTCCTCACACCCACCAGCTCTAGAAAAGCCTTCTCCCTTGGCACACACTGCCCTGAGGAAAGGACCTGAGGCCTCTCCCAGCGTCCACCAGAGGGCGCCACAGCCCAGCCTCAGCTGGGGCAGCCCTGGCTCTCAGCTCCACTGCTCCCTGAGACAGTCTGAGCAGAAGCCTTCATTCCAAGCAAATGAAAATGACCAGATGAACATTTCTATAGAAAACAATGGGAGACAATGAACTTTTGAGGAGTGTGGTTCTGAGCACCCAGGTGTGGTAACCTGTGATGCAGGAATGGAAAGCTAGCCATACCTGGGTCCCAGTGTGCACCTGACACCCCAGGAAGTGTCATCCTTGCTGGAGGGATTCGTGAACTCTGGTGAACACTCCTCCCATGAGACAAAACCTTCCCTAATCTTTGTTTTGTATGCTTGTCACATGATGCAATTAAACACTAATACAATCTTATTTGGCTCTTTGGATTAATTGAGTGCCTTTTGTCAGCATGTATCACCATGTGTTGGAGTTACAGCTTTGATCAACAACCCTAAGTCTGTGCTTATGGGCCCTACATTCTAGAGGTTTCTCTAAAGCAAGATGCAGCCATTTCAGTGAGTTACCTAACAGTCTACTTGTTGATATGAAAGGCAGTGTCAGGGAAGGCACTGTGGTGCTGGGCAGGGTAAGCTGCCACCTGCAATCCAAGCACCCCAGATGAGAGCACCTGTGTGACTCCTGACTTCCCTGCTCGCTGCTCGCCCACCTGCAAAGCAGGGGAACATGGACCTGGTGCTTGGGTCCCTGCATCCACATGGAGCCCTAGTTGGAGCTGTGCACTCCTGGCTCCAACCCAGGACGACATAGTGGCCCTTTGGAGAGTGAACCAGTGGGTGAGAAATCCCTTGGGGATTTTCTGCTGCCTTCCCAGGTACATCAAGAGGAAGGTGAATGGAAGCAGAACAGCCTGGACTCCAAGAAGCCCAGGATGTGTGATGTTGACCTTGCAAGTGGCACTTATCTCACAGCACCACAGCAAACGCTGCCGCTGGGCTGTTTTCATGAAGCAATGATCCCCGGACTCACAACAACAAGGCAGCTGACCACAGCGGGAAGTTTCCCTGGGTGGCAGGAGAGGGACCCTGCTAAGGCCCCAGTTCAGGACTGAGGTGGGGTGGGAGGGACCACAAGGAGAGGAGGAAATGGTAAAGGAAGAGCTAAGAGGAGGTGAGGACAGAGGACAGGAATCTTTTGTTTTGATTGTTTTAAGATTTATTTTTATTAGAAAGTCAGATACACAGAGAGGAGGAGAGATGGAGAAAAGCTCACTCCCCAAGTGGTCACAAATGGCTGGAGTTGAGTCAATCAGAAGTTAGGAGGCCAGAGCTTCTTCTGGGTCTATAATGGGGGTCCAGGGTCCCAAGTCTTTGAGTCTTCCTCTACTGCTTTCCCAGGCAGGCAGCGGGATGGGAAGCAGAGCTGCTGGGTTAGAAATGCCATCCATACGAGAGCGAGGCACATGCAAGATGAAACTTTAGCCTCTAGGCCACTGGGCAGGGCCAGAGCTCAGGATTCTAAAGCAGCAGGTGCTCAGGTCTCAACATGCTGTGCCCTGAATATTAACAGGAATGTCCACAGAGCCCAGCTGGGATCCCAGCATTCTGTATTTAATGCATCCTGTGAGGCTGCCTGAAATCTAATATACTCCTGATGTGAATCAGGTTGACAATAAAACACGCATGGGTCTAGGTATAACTAATCATAAAAATGGGCACGTCCTGATCAGGTCTCTCAGGATCCCTCAGCCAGCCCCGGGGCCTATCCTCAGGAGGGGACATCACACAGGCCTGGGCAGCCGGGCACAGGGTCAGGGCACAGTCCCTGGTACCCGCCTGGCCCTCAGGGTCTCAGTCCCAGGGCGGGTCTGGGCCAGGGAAGCAAGTGCAGGGGAGTCCCCACCTCCTCCAGGGTCACTTCCCCTCTCACAGCCTGAGTGAGCTCCTTCTGCCCGGACACTCGTGACGCGGCAACAGCTCGCACTCCCATTGGGCGAGCGGCTTCCAGACGAGCCAATCAGCGTCATCCTATCCCGGTTATAAAGTCGACTGCGAGGCTTCAGCATCGGAGTCGTCTGAGCCGTCCAGGATGGAGTCCATGGCGCCCCGGACCCTCCTCCTGCTGCTCGCGGGGGCCCTGGCCCTGACCGAGACCCGCCCCCTGACCGAGACCCGGGCGGGTGAGTGCGGGTCGGGAGGGAGACGGGCTCTGCGGGGCAGGAGCGAGGGGAGCGCGGAGGGGACACAGGACCCCGGGGAGCCGCCTCTCCCAGACCTCACACCCCCTACACCTCGCCATCTCACCGACCCCGGCTTATTCAAGACCCTCCCCTCTCCTCGCCGCCTCATCTCGCGGTCCCCACACTCCCTTAGTCTCCTCCCCAACCCAGCTCCGCACTCCTCGGTCCCAAGGGTCCCGCTCCGGGCGGGGTCGGCCCTGGTCTCAGCCCCTCTCTCCCCCAGGCTCCCACTCCCTGAGATATTTCTACACCGCCGTGTCCCGGCCCGAACTCGGGGAGCCCCGCTTCATCGCCGTGGGCTACGTGGACGACACGCAGTTCGTGCGCTTCGACAGCAACGCCACGAACCCGAGGGTGGAGCAGCGGACGGCATGGATTCGGCAGATAGAGCCCGAGTACTGGGAGCAGCAGACACAGGGCATCAAGAACACCGCACAGGATTACCGCGTGAACCTTCAGAACCTGCGCGGCTACTACAACCAGAGCGAGGCCGGTGAGTGACCCGACCCTCCCCACGTGCGCCCAGGGCGCTCCGGGTCCCCTGGCCGAGGTCCCCCACCCCGAGACTGCGCGCCCCGCGGAGACCCTCGGCGGGAGGAGCCGCGGGACACGCCCGGGTTTCGCTTTCGGTTTCCGCTGAAATCCCCGCGGGTCGGTGAGGGCGGGGCGGAGCTGCGTGGCCAGGGCTGACCGCGGGCGGGACAGGCTCTCACACCATCCAGGTGATGTACGGCTGCGAGATCGGGGCGGACGGGCGCCTCCTCCGCGGGTACTGGCAGTATGCCTATGATGACAAGGACTACCTCGCCCTGAATGAGGACCTGCGCTCCTGGACCGCGGCTGACATGGCGGCTCAGATCAGCAAGCGCAAGTTCGAGGCAGCGGGTTATGCTGAGTACATCAGGGCCTACCTGGAGGGCGAGTGCGTGGAGTGGCTGCGCAGATACCTGGAGATGGGAAAGGACACTCTGCAGAGAGCAGGTGCGCGGGGCTGGGAGGGGCCGCCCTCACCCACCTCCCCCGGGGCTGGGGCAGCAAGGAGGGGAGGAAAGTGGGAGTCAGGCCAGTGTCCCCCTCTCCTGCAAGCCACAGCAGGGATGTCCACCTGGGTTTGGGGTTCAGAGCCAGAGACCCACTGTTCCCTCAGGGGAGGACGAACCCAGGGAGGGACACGGGCGGGGGAGGGGGAGAGGCACAGAAGATTCTGGAAAGGACCCTCTCAGTACCCTGCACTCCACCAAGATTTTGTGAACTGTTGCCCCTCCCAGGCCAGTCCTTAGCCTCCAGCCAGTGAACTGAGCAGTTTCATTCCAGGCTCTCTTCCCCTCAGAGACCTGGGCCCTCCTACCCTAGCCAGATACCTGATTCTAGAACTTTCCAAACACTACATTTGTCGCATTGTCTTTATCCAGGCAGGGTCAGGGTTTTGACCTCCTCCACCACCCCATTTCCCCTGTCCACTCTCAGGAAGGTCACTGAGTGTAACTTTAGTGTCTGATGAAAAGCATGAAAGGCCTGAATTTTCCAAATCTTCCCTCAGACCCACCCACAGCACATGTGACCCACCACCCAGTCTCTGACCAGAAGGCCACCCTGAGGTGCTGGGCCCTGGGCTTCTACCCCAAGGACATCACACTCACCTGGCAGCGCGATGGGGAGGACCTGACCCAGGACACAGAGCTGATAGAGACCAGGCCTGCAGGGGATGGAAGCTTCCAGAAGTGGGCAGCTGTGCTGGTGCCTTCTGGAGAGGAGCAGAGATACACGTGCCATGTGGTGCATGAGGGGCTGCCTGAGCCCCTCACCCTGAGATGGGGTAAGGAGGACAGGAGGGATGGGGTCTCCAGCAAGGGTGGGAATGAGACCAGGGGTCAGAGCCCCTTATTGTCCCTATCCCTCTCAGAGCCTCCTCAGCCCACTGTGCCCATGTGGGGAGTCATCACTGGCCTGGTCCTCCTGGCAGCTGTGCTCATTGGAGCTGTGGTCACTGTTGTGATGAAGAGGAAGCGCTCAGGTAGGGCAGGGTGAGGGCTGGGTCTGAGTCTCCTGTCCCCCAGGGAGATGGTCCCCCTACCCCGTTCCTGGGAAGCACCATGCACACACACACCTGCACCCCTAGCTGAGCCCCGGGTGCTCACACTGGCTCTAGTGTAAACCTTGAGTGAAGGTGGAGAACAAACACTCCACAGGGATGACTCTGTTCATGGGGACCTGAGTTCCAGCAGCCCCGGGTCAGGGGGAGGTCCCAGCTGAGGACACACTTCCAGGGGAGGTGCCTCCTAACCTTTCTTGGGTCTGTAGCCACAGTTCTAGAAACTTTTCTGAGATGAGCCAGTACTCTGGCCCTGCCTTCTCCCTGCCTCTCACTGGATGTTTTCTCTCACAGGTGGGAAAGGAGGGAGCTACACTAAGGCTGCAGGTAAGCACTGGGGTGTGTTTGGGGATGGGGGAGTCCCCACTTGCTCTAGTCATTTGCCCCTAGAGGTGCTGCCCACCCACCCTGTAGCTCCTCCCTCAGCCACACCCCCTGGGCTCTCACCAAGTCCTGATTGGTTCTCCCAGGTGGGGACAGTGCCCAGGGCTCTGACTCCTCTCTGAAAGTTTGAAAGGTGAGATCTGGAGGGCCTGGAGGGGAGAGGGACCTGGGTGAGGGGGACTCAGAGGGGCTTGGGGATTCCTTGAATCTGGACATTTTCAGTGTGCTGTGCTGTTCCTGTCCCCAAAAACAATGACCTCAAATTTTCACCTTGTTTCTGTAGTGTGAGACAACCGCCTTGTTGAGACAGACCTGCTGAAGTCCCCATCTTGGTTTTCTTCAAAAAGCCCTGCCCTCCCTTCCTGCCAAGGCATCTGAGTGTGTTCCTGTGGGCACAGTGTGAGGTGGGAGCCTGGCCCTCCCAGCCCAGCACGGGCACCTCTGTCCCTGTCTCAGGTGGATCATCTGCTGCAGCTTCATCCTTCACTGTGCAGTTCATTTTTTAACAATTCCAATCACGAGGTGTTGGTGAGAAAATTAAAAGAGGAAATTACAAAATTTTGACTGGGGGAGGGGAATTTAGGGAGGGGTGTGCAGAATCCCAGTGCCTATAAAAATGTGTCACGCAATGCAATGTAATCAATAAAAAAAAAATAAAATTTGACAGAGAAATAAACAGAAGCACCAAGAACCTTCCAGAACCTGTGTTTCCTGTGTTGAGTCTGTTGCAGGTGGGGACAGGAGAGGCTGGGAGGCCCTGGGTGAGGATGAGGCTGTGCCCAGGCAGTGCTCCATCCATCATGCTTTCTCTTGGTCACTGTTGACCTGGTTCAGCTGCCCCTGTGTCCTGGTCTCTCTGGTAGTACATGCCCACCAACACCTGCCATCACAGGACTCAGTCGTGGCTAGGCTGCCCTGTCTCATGGCCCAAGGCATGGAGGCTGCATGGGGCCATGGCCGCCAAATCTAGGGCTTAAGTTCATCCCTCAGCTCCATCTTCCTGTGTTCACTTTGTTCCTTAGTGTCATTGGCTGATTGTATCTGCTCTTCCTGTGTGTGAGCTCTGGTGGCCTTCACTTCTGTGTGTGCAGGACACAGTGTAGGAGGGAGGCAGGAGGGCAGGGGACACTTGTGAGAAAGCACAGGCCATGGGGACACCAGCAGGAGGAAACCTGCTCAGCAGCGGCCACAAGTGGCAGCCTCTGTCTCAGACTCCACTAATGAACCATGGGGTCTGGAAGGGGCAGGTGCTACATGCTCATCACTCAGCTGACTTTGCTGTGGGTCAGACCCAGTGCTGGGCAAGGTGGTCCAGGGTGGGTGTGAGGGCCAGAGCAGCTGGCTGTCTCACCATCATGGTCAGCGTGCACTGTCCTGAGGGGATGACCCTGAGTAAGGTTGGAAGGACACAATGAGTCATCTGCAAAGAAGTTGTGGGGGAGGAAGACGGCTAGTGCAAATGCCCTGGGCAGGAGCAAGTCTGCACACAGAGCAGAGAGCTGTCAGGAAGGCTGGGTTGGGACACTGCCATCCAGCAGGCTGCATGCACACTGAGACTGGGTCCTGGCTCTGAGTGAGATGGGAGCCATGAGGCAGCTCGGAGCAAAGGAAGGACATGTGCACATTCTGTCCAGGGACCACCCTGGCTGCTGCGTGAGGACGGGGCTGAGAGACTGCGAGGCTGGATACATAGATCTAGGGCATCCTGTGAAGCCCAGACAGGGATGCCGGTCACTGTGGTGGGTGTGGGCCTGGGCAGAGTGGAAGATGAGGTTCTGGATCCTTCTGCAGCTAGATGCACAGCACTTCCTGTGGACTGCATCCAGGGAAAGAGAAGGAGGTGAGGAAGACACCCAGGGCTTCAGGCCGTACCCTTGGGTGGATGGCATCACCACAGGAGAAGGGCAGCCTGGGAGGGTGGATTCCATAAGGAACCAGCCAAGCATTCAGTGCAGAAACCAGGATGTTGGTGAGGAGTGACACTGCAGGGCTGGCAGTGACCACGAGGAGAAGAAATGTCTGTGTGGGAGACTCACTGTGGAGTCATCTCCATATGAACCACATTTGCATTCAGGAACAGAGATGGAGCACCCAGGGAGTGAGTGAGAATCATGAGAGAGGGTGCAAGAAGGAGCACTGGGCCTGCAGGGCTAAGTCGAGGGGGAGAGGGAAGGGGGTTAAACCACAGCCCCACTACCTGCAGGGCTAGGGTCACTGGGAGAACGAGGGTCCACAGACATGCTGAGGGGATCCCGTGAGTACTGGGAGAGCTGGGACAGTCTGGAGCAGTCAGGGGGTCTGCAAGTGGCTCAGGTGGGTGCTGATGGCACCACCTCCAGAGCACACTCTGGCAGCAGGAGGGAGACAGGACTCCCACCTGGACCTCAGCCTCCCCTGAAAGACGGTCACATGAGCACACCTGGGCCCTGGACACCACACAGTGAGGGGCTGCTCTGACAGAGACCTGGGGGCAAGCAGCCTAGTTTACAGCAGTGTCGCTTATGATGTTCCAGGTTTACTAAGTGGGAAACACATACACCTGGTTCTGAGCCACACCTCTCCCCTGACCTCTGATCTTCTCTATGCTGCTGTGCTGGGCAATGGTGCCAGGAATGGAAGGGAGTCCCAAGTCCAGGCCTCACCCTCACCAGGCACCTTCCTGTTTAGCTGGGATGTCAGGGGGGAGCGGCAGTCACTGCACTCAGCTTGTGATGTTTCAGCTCCCAGTGTTCACATCCAGACAGGGCACAGCCAAGGTCAAAGGTGCCTGTGTTCTCTGAGAGCCCCAGGGTCAACACTACTGTCACCCACACTGGGAACCCCTGGGCCTGTGAACAAAGAGCACTACAAGATAGGGGAGGCATAAAAAATTATTTTTATTTATTTGAAGATTTTTTTTTCATCTTTTTGAAAAGGAGTGTGTTCTCCCATCCCCTGGCTCACTCCACAAATGTCCATACTGCTGGGGGTGGGGCACGCCAAAGCCCAGAGCCCAGAACTCAGTCCAGGTGTCCTGGTGCATCATCTGCTGCCTCCCAGGGCGTGCACCTGGTGGACGCTGGGCCAGAAGTGGAGCCAGGACTCCAACAGAGCACTGAGATGGGACCAGGTGTCCCAAGCTGCATCTCCACCTCTGTGCCTGGGTATTCAGATGAGACAGGACGTTGGCAACACATGATATTCTCTCTCCTGCAGGGACAACCCAGGAGAAAGCTGCAGGAAGAGGCCACAGCTGAGAACACAGAACCTCCCTGTATCCTGCTTCCTTACATGTTGCCCCTCGTGGATTCTCCCTCCTTGGAGCCCAAGATGAAATCTAGGAGTTTCTCATTTGCCCTTTACCTGGCTGTGATTCAATGAAGAGAAAATACAGAGACCCTGGTTGAGGCTGCACAGCCAGGAACAGAATCCTTGGCCTCACCCTGGGTGGTCCCAGCTGGGAACCACAGCCCTGCTGCTGGGCACAGAGGGCACAGCTCACACCCCTGACCCTGATGCTAGACCCGGGCCTGCACCAGGCCTGCTATCTCTGGTGCCCTGATTTTTACATTAGAGATGTCGCTGACAGCGTGGGGGTCCTGATGCTACAGCTCTGAGGTGTGATAGAAATGCTTCTGTTGGGGCACAGCGTGGTGGGCCTGTAGCTAAATCCTCACCTTGCATCTGCTGGGAATCCCATAGGGGTTCTGGTTCATGTTCTGGCTGCTCCACTTTCCATCCAGCTTCCTGCTTGTGTCCTGGAAAACCAGGAGGGAATGGCCCAAAGTCTTGGAACCCTGCACCTATCTGGTAGACCTGGAAGAAGCTCCTGCCTCCTGGCTTTGGATTGTCTCATCACTGGCCATTATAGCCACTTGGGGAGTGAGCCAGCAGATGGAAGGTCTTTCTCTCTGTATCTCCTTCTCTCTGTAAATCTGCCTTTCCAATAAAAAAAAATTTTTTAATCACATCAATGAAAGAAGTAGAAGAGACAAAACAATGGAAAAAGTATTCCAATATCCAGGATTAGAAGGGTTAATATGATCAAATCATCCATGGTGCTCCAAGCAACTCACATATTCAATTTGACCCCAATAAATTTATCGAGGACTTTGTCCACAAAGAAACAAGATCAAACAAAACTCCAGATTAGCAGGAGATGAGAAATAAGAGGCAGAGCCACGTAAGTGAAAGTGAAACCAAGAAAAGTGTGAAATATTGACCAAAACAAAAAATGGCTTGAGAAAAATAAGATAGTCAAATATTTAACCAGGCTAACAAACAGTGTTATAAAAACTCTGGTAACTAAAATTACAAATTAGGGCCTGGCGCTGTGGCCTAGCGGCTAAAATCCTCGCCTTGAACGTGCTGGGATCCCATATGGGTGACGGTTCTACTCCCAGTGGCCCGCTTCCCATCCAGCTCCCTGCTTGTGGCCTGGGAAAGCAGTTGAGGACAGCCCAAAGCCTTGGGACCCTGAACCCACGTGGGAGACCTGGAGAAGGTTCCTGGTTCCTGGTTCCTGGCTCCGAATCAGCGCAGCACCAGCTATTGCCATCACTTGGAGAGCAAATCATCGGACAGAGGATCTTTCTCTCTGTCTCTCCTCCTCGCTGTATATCTGACTTTGTAATAAAAAATAATTCAATATTATTATTATTATTACCCTCCTCCAAAGCAGGGTCCCAAGACCTTGGGCCATCCTCTACTGCCTTCCCTCGCCAAAATCAGAGAGCTGGATGGGAAGTGGAGCTGCCAGGTTTAGAACCGGTGCCAATATGGGATCTGGCTCATACAAGGTAGAACTTTGGCCACTAGGCCACCGTGCCAGGCCCAAAAACAAATCTTAAAACAAACAAAACCAGAAGAGCCTGGTGCTGTACCCTAGCGGCTAATGTTAGAAATCCCACACCCACTGGTTCACTCCCCAGATGGTCACTGAGCCAAGGCTGCGCCAGGCCAAAGCAGGATCCACCAGCTTCCTCCTTCTCCCCGATGGGTGCAGGGTCCCAGCACTCAGGCCAGCTTCTGCTGCTCTTCCAGGCACAAGGGCAGGGAGCTGACTGAGAAGTGGAGCACACAGGACTCTGTTCAACGACCACATGGAACACTGGCATTGCTGGCAGCAGCTTTCCATGTTACACCACAATGCCAGCCTCTCATAAGAAAGCTTCAGAAACAATTAACTCCTTCAACTTGTAAGTTTGATTCATATAAAAACAAAGCCTCCAAGCATGTGAAGGTTTATGGCTGATGACACCTGAGTACTGTAAGTGATATTTGAAGGTCAATCAAACTTGGGGTATCAAAGCATCTAACAGACTTTCAGCAATGTGAGAGAGACAACAACACTGAGTAATATAGGACAGCACACACCAGCAGGTGCACCTTGCAGGTGCCTGAACAAACTCTCCTCCCACCTGCTTCCTGATTATAAGGACCCAGGGAGACCCCCAAGGGTCCCTTTTCCTCTCCTGCTCCCAGTCAGGCCCTG